TGGCAGCAGTTCCCCCACTCCTTCTCCAAGTGGCGCTGAGCTTGCTGTCCGGGCTGCAGCACCGCTCGTAAAGCACGGTGCTGTTCGATGCAGGTGAAGGGCTGGATCGGGTAGTGGACTTGGCCAGGCCAGCGTTCAATGCCTGGCTGACCTGGCGCGGCTGAATGCCACTCTTGCCGGTGACGGAAGCCGAACGATTTCCTGCGATCAGCTGCGGCTTCGCCCCCTTCTTGAGCGCCCCCGCGCGTGGCTGCTCCTCATCCGCGATGTTGACCTCGTTCTGGTTGGTCAACTCGGCGTCGTAGCCCAGGGTCACGGGCGCGCCGGACACGCAGCCCGACCAGAAACCCGGGTGGCTGCAGGCGTCGCAGGCCTTCTCGCCGCAGGCGATACAGTCCTGCAGCGGCTCGGTGACGCACGCGGCGGGATAGGCGGTCTGCGGCAGCGTCGCCAGCGTGAGACTCGGTGATGGAGTAGCGGTGGAGCAGCCAACCAGAGCTGAAGCCACGGCGGACATCAGCCGCGACCTTTTCGGGCGGCGAAGCTGAAGTCGCCTCGGGACGTTCAGCTCTGTCTTCGGGACGAGCCCTTTTGATCGCGTCGATCAGCGTGTCTGTCCTAGTCGTAGCGTTGACACTCGGCTCGCGGCAAGTCCCAGGTCGGTTGGCTGGCTTGCTTAGTCGCCCCATTCCAGCGTCCTTGATGGCCCGCCAGTCCTCCGGCTCAAGTCGGTCGCAGGGTGGCCCGCGCTCCTCGCAATGAGCTTCTGGGTTGAGTTCCCGATGCGAATCTTGCCCTTCCAAAGAGATATGTCGATCTTGGAAGGCAAGATGAAGCCCCGGCCGATGAGCAGGCCGAGCGCAGGGCTGTCCACGGCGCTAAACACGACGCGGCCAGCCTGGCCGCAGAGCGCCAGCGGCACGGCAACGCGCATCTCGCTCGGGGGCGCGCCCCCGCCGCCGAACCCGAAGGCCTCGTCCCCAGGCTCTTCGAGGACCTGGTCGCCAAGGCCCATCTTGGCAAGGGTGCCCTTGTAGTTCTCGCGCCACTTCACGCCCGCGACGCAGAAAAGGCAGGCCGCGCCCATCGCGCCGACGCCTTCGCCCACGGGCTCGTCGCCGTTGGCCGAGACGTTGACGGCAAGTCGTGGGCCAGCCGCTCTGAGACGCGCGCCTCTGGAGGCGGCGTCGCGGGCCCCTGCGGACGCAGGGCAATCTCCTCGTCCGCGAACTGGACCTGCTCGGTGATGCGAGCGCGGCTCCTCGTGCGACCTCTACGGCGCCCGCGCCCTCCGCCCTTGGACGCACCGTCGTTGGGCGCGAACTTGCGAGCCTGGCGCGGGGCGCTCTTTGTCCCCTGTTCAACGCCCGGTCCCGCAGCAACCCCAGCACTGCGACGTCTTCTTGCGCTGGTTGACCCGGCTATGCAGCTTCGCTGGGCGACGCGAGGGCGCGGGCATGCGCGACTTGCCGCGGCCTTTGAGGGCCCCCCGGGCCGATCAGATGGCGGCCGCGGCCTCGGGAATGGCAGCGAGCTCCGCCGCGGCGGCCCTGCTCTCGGCAGAATCGTCGCCGTCGAACAGCTCGGAGTCGCCCACGTTGGAGGAATCGAGCCTGGCGCGGCAAGCCTCGAGCACCTCGGGGGCCTTGCCCTCGTGGTCCTCCTCTGGTTCTTTGTCGTCGTCGGGCTCGTCGACGACGCCGGTGGAGCGCCCTCCACGGCTGGGGGGCCTCCACCTCGCCAGCCGCCTTGCTGGCGCGACCAGCCGGTCACGTCGTCCAGCGCGTTGAGGTCCACCTCGTTCTCGCGCAACTGCTGCAGACCGGTCTGGAAGCGGATGTACAAGTCCGTCATGCGTTCGCATGTGCGTCGGCATTGCTGAGCCGACTCGGAAAACTTCTCGAGGGAATCGCCCTTTTGCACGGGCTTCTGCTGACCCGAGCTCGCCTCCGAATGTTGCAGAACACTATCGATGCCGACCTGGTTCCTATCGCGCTTCTTCTCGTCGGCGTCGTCTATGTTGGGATCGACAGCAGGATGTAGTTGCGCCTCCGTCGTAATTAATGCTGCACTCTTGGCCGTCCCTGCGAGCCTGAGCACAGGTAGGTATGACTGAATGTCAAGAACTGGCGAAATTGCCCGTCATCTTGATAAGGAAGAGGATGCTGGCGTCGCTGACGCTGGCGTATGAGACATAGTGGCTGGCGTCGCTGACGCTGGCCTTGGAAATGTAGTATGCCGCGTCGCTGACGCTGGCGTAGGAAATGTAGTGTGCGGCGTCGCCGACGCTGCTGACGCGAGGTTTATCGCAATGGGCGTCGTTGAAGACGCTGTCCTGCGAGAGAAAGAGAAAGAGAGAGAGAGAGAGAAAGAGAAAAACAAAAAAGAGAGCACTGAGGAAACAGCTGTCGCCAGATATATAAGAAGTGGGTAGGATGTGTAGTATGTGGCAGCGTCGCTGACGCTGCTGTTGGATATGTAGTAGCCGAAGGCGCAAACGCTGGCGTCGCAGGACGCTGGCGCTGGAGTTGGGAAGGTAGGCGTCGATGCTGGCGTCGCAGACGCTGACCTTGGTGCTGGCGTCGTAGACGCTGGCGTTGGTGCTGGCGTCGCCGACGCTTACGTAGGCGCTGATCAGCAGCACGAGGAAGCCGCTGGGCTTCGATTCCGTCGGACGTGTCGCAAACGCCGTCGTGATATGCACGGCCCAAAGGCCGGGGCAGCGAGCAAAGCTCCCAGCTACCACTGTGATATGGATGGCGCGGGCGGCGCGGCAATCTGTGTCGTATGAGAGCGCTGCTCGATCAAATCGCGCAGGTCTAAGGCCAAAGGCCCTATTCGAGAATAAACGGCGGCGGCAAGGATACATACAAACAAAGAGAGCAGACAGGGAGAGAAACACGGGTGCGCATCCTCTGGGCCTTTTTAAGTTTTCAGGGGGAACCTCTTCGGGCCTCTCTCTCTTTTCCCGGGAGTGAGCTTGAATCACAGGGGGGACCAAGTGACGCACTGGAAAAATACTAACACAACAAAATCAGACGAATCATCCGAATGAAAAGACCCAGAAAAAAATATTAATACGAATAATAAAAAGAAGATGAAGAAGAGAAGGAGGGAGAGACACGCGCGCCCCACTCTTCGCAAAGTAACTACTCGCGGATAGCCCGGATCCGGCGCGGGGGATCTTCAATCCACGATACCACGAGGCGAACATATGTTTTTCATGTTTGCAGGTAGACACTTTGCGAGTAGTGGACCACGCTCGGTGAAAGAAGAAGGAGCCTCAATATCCACACGCACACCTACGGCAAGTTCGTGTCGTGCCGACTTCGGCGTCGGTTTCTGACAAAGCGGGGATCGTTTAACCTTGAACGACTGGCCCTTCCCGAAACACTAAGCCGTTCAGCATCGACCAGTTCTGGGTCGCGGGCGGCGTTCAGTGTTAAACGCCGGCAGCGGGGTCGCCGCCAGTCGACACGACGTGAACCTGGCGTAATCATTCGGGGGCGCACAAGCATGGATATTCATGTATTTGGCGCGCGGTCGCCAAATTCATGGATCGGGGGAGGTGCCCTCCCCAAAATGCAGCCGGTGCCTCCTCGCTCGGCGGCGGGAATCTGCGATTTCCCACGGAAACTCGACCCGTCGCCAATCCACGCCCCCTTGGTCCATGCTTGCGATCGCCCGAGTCATCACTCCCCTCCTACAAGCCTCGTCAAAAATAAACAGAAGACTTCTGAATTCGGTGATTGTGGGGTCAGCGCCACTCCAATGCTGACGGAATCCTGTTGACTCGGACACGGCGTTGTCCAAAAACCGACCCCACCCTCTCAGCATTGAAGAACGCGCTTCCTGACAAGTGCCCGGAAGTATCGTGCCCCAGGATTTCGACTTCCATTTCTGGATATTTTGACGAGGCTTGTAGGACGCCCCCGAGAAGCGCGGTGCGGAATCCGCGATTTCCCACGGAAACTGGACCCGTCGCCAATCCACGCCCCCTCGATCCATGTTTGCGATGGCCCGCCCATAGCAAAACCATCGAAGCCCAAGAAACCCAGGGCACCCTGGAGGCAGGCAGGGTGTTTCTTGGCGGGGGCCTCCACTGCATCGCCCCCCCCATTCCGCGACGCCCAACGCGTCGCCAATCTTGGGCGCCCGAGTTATCCGGGGTAACTCGGGTCCGGGGTAACGCGGGCTCGGATTCCCGAAAAACGAACCCGAGTTAGCCCTGACCCGAGTTACCCCTGATGATTTTGGGGCTCTGGACGCCCGAGTTATCCGGGTCAACTCGGGCCCGGGATACCTCGGGCTCGGATTCCCGAAAAACGAACCCGAGTTATCCCTGACCCGAGTTACCCCTGATGATTTTGGGGCTCTGGACGCCCGAGTTATCCGGGGTAACTCGGGCCCGGGGTAACTCGGGTTCGGATTCCCGAAAAAGCGAACCCGAGTTAGCCCTGACCCGAGCTACCCCTGATGATTCGGGGCTCTGACAATCCGCGACGCCCAAGCGTCGCCAATCCACGCCCCCTTGGTCCATGTTTGCGATCGCCCGAGTCATCACTCCTGAAGGGGCCCTGGGACACACGAATAAATGCACACAAATAACAGGATCCTCCATCTTTTCCCATGTTTTCTGGCTTTCTGTCTTCCCCCTCCACTGCCCATATTGCAATTTTTTTCTGGGGCATCGACGATTCATGGTGTCTGTGTGTTTCGTTTCCTCCTGGTTGTTGTGGAGCCTCCCGGTGGCGCCTCGGGAGTCCCTGCGAGACTCCGATCAAAAGGCGCAGCCTCGAGAGAGGTCGGGGCCGACCTCGTCCAGGGCCTCCTCCTCCTCCTCCTCCTCCTCCTCCTCCTCCTCCTCATCCTGTTCCTGGGACTCGACGATTCATTGTGTCTGTGTGTCTCGTTTCCTCCTGAACTCCCCTCCTCGGACGCCCCCGAGGAGCGCGGCGCGGCGAGGGCCCCCCCCCGCGGCCGGGTCGCGCGCGGCGGGCCTTGGCGGCGCTGGCCACGGCGGGCTCGGCCGCCGCCTCGCGGGGCGAGGAGGGCGCGCGCGCGGAGGGCGCGCGCGCGCGCGAGGATGGGAAGCTGGGCGAGGGCTGCTACAGTCGGGGCGCTGACCCAAGGAACCCTAAATAAGGAACGGGGCCCCTTTTTCCACAAGTTAAACTTCGATTTCCCATCGAAAACCCAAGGAGAACCCGAGGCAAGCTGTGAAACAATCAAGGAACACCGAGCCCCTCCACAACGAAAAAGGTTCCCTCTTCAGCGCCTCGACTGTAAATCCGTGGCTGCTAAAACGGCCCTCCCGTCCGGAAAAAACAACTTCCCGGAAGGAGGCGCGGCGCGCGAAACAATCAACGGGCTTCTGCCCGGAAGGACGAAGACAACTTCCCGGAGGCCGATTTTAGCAGCCACGGATTTAGAAGCCCTTGCCCGGCTTCCGAGCTGGGGTCGGAGGATCACGTCGCACCGCCGATGCATCGCAGGTGCGTCGGCGTGGAGAGCATCGAGATCGCCGTCCCCCTCTCTCGCCCTCGCTTCGGCTTCGCGCGCTCGCTTCTCGCACGATGCTCCAGGATGCTCTTCGATGGTCGACCTCGCCGAGAAAAAACGTGCGCACGTCCGAGCGATGTCAAGATCTGCTCGGACCCCATCTGGGAGGCCTGTGAGGGGGACCCCGACCCCTGGAGCTCCCCTAGAAGAAGAAAAAAAAACATTACTCACTGCGTGGAGCTCCCCATGTGTGCATCTCATGTTTTATGTCATGCCATAGTGAGCGTCTGTTCATGAGCGTTTGACTATAATAACGGGCAGGCCCGTGTCCTACCTCCTGGCGGCTCTCCTTAGGGATGCTGAAACCAGCGCCGCGCCTGAGACATACTCAAAATCTGCTCTGAAAGCCAAGGATGTTGGGCATGAAAACAAACAAACCGCCTGAGACATTCCCACAAACTGGCAACGAACGGGCCCGTGTCCCAACCCCCACCCCCTGACGGCTCCCCTTAGAGGTGCTGAAACCAGCACCCCGCCTGAGACATCCTCACAATCTGCTCTGAATGCTAAGGATGCTGGGCATGAAAACAAGCAAACCGCCTGAAACATCCCCACAAACTGGCCGCGAACGGGCCCGTGAAAACACCCCTGGCGGCTCCCCTAAGGGGTGCTGAAACCAGCGCCCCGCCTGAGACATCCTCAAAACCTCCTAGGAAAACCAAGGATGTTGAGCATGAAAACACGCAAACCGCCTGAGACACCCCCACAAACTGGCCGCGAACGGGCCCGTGAAAACACCCCTGGCGACTCCCCTTAGGGGTGCTGAAACCAGCGCCCCGCCTCAGACATCCTCGCAATCTGCTCTCCAAGCGAAAGATGTTGAGCATGAAAACAGGCAAACCGCTTGAGACATCCCCACAAAATGGCCGCGAACGGGCCCGTGCAAACACCCCTGGCGGCTCATCCTCCAAATCTGATGTGTGTTGAGTAAGTCAGACTAAGAGAAGGTATGAGTATGCGTAGGTCTGAGTATGAGTAAGTATGTGTATGAGTACGTCTGTGTATGAGTAAGTCTGAGTATGAGTAAGTCTGTGTATGAGAAAGTCTGTGTGTGAGTAAGACTGGGTATGAGTAAGTCTGAGTATAAGTGAGTCCGAGTAGGAGGAGACGAGAAGAGGAGGGGACGAGAAGAGGAAGGAGGAGGAGGAGTAGGAGGCGTCCAAGTAATAACAAGAACCCCATCCTGGGATAGCGAGACTGAGTATGAGTAAGTCTGAGTATGACTTGGTCTGAATACAAATGAATATGATCATGAGAAAGTCTGAGTATGAGTAAGTCTGAGTATGACTAGGTCTGAGTATAAATGAGTCTAAGTGAAGGTAAGTCTGTGCATGGGTAAGTTTGAGGGTGAAGAGAGGAAGGATGAGGAGGAGGGAGGAGAGGAGGGGGTATGGTTCTGGTTGGAGTCGGCGCCGTTCAAGTATTAACAAGAACCCCATCTTAGGATATGGGGAATAAACATAAACTTTCGGCGCTCCGCGCGGATTTCTTGGATCCGCGCCAGACCCCCCTCTCTGGCGAGAGGAAAAGGAACGCGCTAGGGGCGGCGCAAAAATTGAGTCGCCGGGATCTCGGGGGAGGCCTGGAAAAACTCCCCCCCACAAGAGAAGTTCGGCTTCGACGGCCGCTGCCGGAGAGAGCGCTCACCCCTCCAGACTGCGGCCAGAGCCACGCCTAGATCGCGGAGAGCGCCGCTGCAAAGGCGCAGTCGTCGAGAACGAGCACGCCAACCCCCGTGCGTCGGAGGAGAGGGCCAAAACTGCGACGACGACGACGGCTCGCCCGCCTAGACCGGATCTGCTCAACGTAGGTCCCCGGACACCACCCGGGGTCCATCCTGACCGCCTTTCTGATGCCGAAATAGACGAGCGCGTTCCACGACTCGCAAAGCCACTAATTACTCGCAAATGGCCCGGATCCGCCGCGAGGGATCTACCATTAATTACATCGAAGCAGACATGTGTTTTTTCGGACGTTTGTGAGTAGGCACTTTGCGAGTAATGGAGTAAGCTCGGCGACGAAAGGTACCGATACCGCTGCTCCCCGGACTTCTCCCGGGGTGCGTTCGGACCAGAACCTCGAGGCGAACTCCGCGGTGGCGACGAGGGCCTCCTGGGAGGCCCAAAAAGACAGGAAAACGCAGGGAGGGCAGCCGCGAAGGTACCTTTTCCTCTTAGGAGGAAAGGCTCTTCCCCCCTCCGAAACTCTGGAGGTAGGAAAAGGGCATGGTATAAAGGGGTGTGTGTGTGTGCTAATTTTAGGTAAAGGGGACTCTGGCGATGTTATTTATCGCAGAGAGCATCGCCATCTCCACGATTGGCACCAATACCCCTTTATGCCACACCCCTTCCCGACCTCCAGAGAACCTCAGAGCTCTGAGTTTCGAAGCGACTCCGGCCGCGACGACGCGAAGCCTCCAGGAAGGCCCTCCTCCGCCGTACCTCGGGCCTCGGGCGCCCGTCTGGGGCCACCCTCTGGGGCATCCCCAGAGCGCCCGCGACGAGGCGCAGCTGATGGGAGCCGTCCTGGGTCCCGAAGACCTCCAGAAAAGCCAAGGAGAACCGCGGTTGTCCCTGAAATCCTGGCGGCTCGGCTTTTTGTTCGAGCTGGGCGGTCTCGCTCCATTTCGAGCCCCGGGACCCTCACAGATCGATCCGGATCGAAAAATTGTGCAGAAAGATAGAGTCCGGGAGTCCGGTCGTGGTTTTTGTGGGATGTTGCACGTTTTTTTGCAACGCCGGATCTCAGGGTGGGTCCCGAAAACCCTCGAAAACCAAAAAGAGAAACGCCGTCAATAACCCCGCGCTCGAGACATTAATCCCACGGGTATTATAAAGTTCTGGGTCCTGGGAGGATAATCAATATTTTCCTCGAGGTATCGGTGTTTAATCAGTGTTGAATGTCCTCCAAGGTGATCTGACACATTGGTCGCTCTTGGGGGGAGTCCCTTTGGATGCGCTATGCATGATACGAAGATCAGAGCTATGATTGGAACATTGCCAGGGGATAAGAAGTTCGGCCTCCTCGCCTACCTGCCTCTGGTTCCATACACAGGCCGCAAAGAATAAGCATAGACGACCCAAGGGGTGAGGCCTCATTATTATCACGGGGACGCGGATATCTCGACTGGTACGGGACGCACAAAGACATACTACAGCCAACCCGCATAATGAGGATGAGCAACTTTCCAAGGTTTCCCGTGAATCCTTCCATTTCGGCCAATCCTTGGCCACTTTCTCTTGCCGTGCCCTGCTCACACACGTGCAGACATGGTCTTGCAAAGCCCTTGCATGCTTACCGCACGTCCATATGATACAGGCTGACTGCAACACGCTGTCCCTCTGCGGAAGACGCGCGTCAGACCCAGACATTGAAATCGGCATCTTGTAGCCAATCGTTTCCCGGGCGGCATGGCCAGAAAGCGCCCGCCACGGAGCTTATGCTATAAGATTTCTGAGCGTGCGCGCCGCCTGTGTGTGGCCTACGGAAATGCACGCAGCATACCTATGTGTCGGTGGTAGCGATGGTCCTCTGAGCCGCGAAAGTGTACACACGGACACCCGCCGACGAACTTCGCAGGTACCTTCAGGAATGGTAGCAGTATATGAAATCGCTGGCTCTCAGTGGTGACTTACACACCGTCACCCTCCTCTGAGGCCCAGGAACATACAACAGGTTCGTATCGTGACGACCCTGGCGTTGGCTTCTGACAACGCGTGGATCGTTCAACCTTGAACGATCGGCGACTTTCCGATCACCAAAGCTCGTCCCACGTTCGCCAGTTCTGGGCTACAGGCAGCGTTCCACTTTGAACGCCCCCGGCGGGGTCGCCACAACGTCTGCACGACACGAACCTACCGTACAGTGGAGGGTGTCCGTGTACTTCTTTGTGGCGGATCCTCCACCGACCGTGATCCAGCAACATCTAGAAAGAGAATGAACAGCATAAATGTAAACAGTCGGCTCTCTCGCCATCGCTCGGACGTCCATTCCTGGTGCGTTTTTTCGGCTTCGTGCGTGTTTTCTTCGCAAGACGATCCAAGCTGCTCTTCGATGGTCCTCGCCGAGAAGAAAATTCACACGTCCGGGCGATGCCAAGCTCTCGGCGCAGACTTCTTGGATCTGCGCTGGACCCCCCTCCCTGGCGCGCGGAGCGCGCCAGGGGCGGCGCTGGAGGCGCCGCCGGGGGGGGGGGGGACCAGCGCGGATCCAAGAACAACCCGCGCGGAGCGCCAGCAACAATTGTGCTTATGTCGCTCTCTTTCTTCCCCGAGGATGCGCCACCGACCGAGATCCAGCAGCCTCAGCGTAGAGGGCAGAACATCCACCCCGATGGTAACCACCCCGACGCGAGAAGCCGTTTAGCCAACGCACCCTCAGAAGAATTCGAACAGGGCAGGGCCGTTGAGTAAACGCACAAGGGCCGTTTAGTCAACGCCAATTGTCGGGTCCGGGTGGTTTTTCCTCCCTTGACAGCGGACGGTTGGTGGTCTCCAAACCAGGTGGTGAGACACCCGGTGGTGACCCCGGTTCCCCAGCAAAAAGTAATTCTGGGTCGCCACCGGGCTTGGGGACACGCGGTCGCCACGAGGTTTTGCGCTTCCTGGGCCAGCCAGCGCTCGAAAACCATTATGGGACGCACAGAGACATACTAATACTATATGTTCTCCTTGGAGGCGCGCGTCCGACCCAAGCATATAGTATACCCATCTTGTAGTATATCGTTTCCCGAGCGGTGTGGCCAGAAAGCGCACGCCGCGACGCATATACTATAAGATTTCTCGGTGCGCGCGTCGCCCCTGGGGGGGCGACGCACATACAGTATAAGTATGTTGGGGTGATGCCGACATTACCCAAATCGCCCAAAACTCACCACCGGGTGTTCTCACCACCACGTTTGGGGACCACCAAGACGGCGGCGGGGGCGGGCAACGCCCGCCGCACCTGCGACACCGGCAGGGGCCCGCGCTCCGCCAGGAGCGCCTTCAGCGCGGAGCGGAGGGCCTCCTGGCGGCAGGGAGCGCCAAGGGCGCCGGGTGGCGGGGGGCCGCGGGACTCGAGGGGGAGCAGCACGGTGCCCTGCTTGTGCCCCTCCCTCCTCCTCCTCCTCCTCCTCCCTCTCTCCTCCTCCTCCTCCTCCTCCTCCTCCTCTTCTTCTTCGTGTGAGTATTACTAGTATACGTATGATTATGCTTATTATTATTCTTCCTATTATTAGTATGTTTATTATTATCATCATTATTATTATCATTATTATTATTGTTATAATGAGTATTTGTATTAATAGTATTGTTGATACTTTTTTCTCTGTATGATGACTGCTAGTATTGATTATTTGTCTTAGCCTCCTCCCCCTGCCCCTCCTTCTCCTCCTCCGCCTCCTCCTCTTCCTCCTCCTCCTCCTCCTTCTCCTCCTCCTCCTCCTCCTCCTCCTCCTCCTCCTCCTCATCTTCCTTCTCCTCTACGAGGCCCCAGTGCTGCAAGCGGGGCCTCGCAAGGCTCCCTGGGCAGCGCCTTCCCAAGCTCAGAGCCGGGGGGCCTGGAGCTTCGGAGGCGGAGGAGGGTCGCGCCCAGGGCGCCGGTCGCCGCGCCAGAGAGGCGGGCCGTGCAAGGGGCGGGCCCAATATTTTCCTCCTCCTCCTCCGCCTGTTCTTCCTCCTCCTCCTCCTCCTCCTCCTCCTCCGCCTCCGACTCTTCCCTCCTCCTCCTCCTCCTCCTCCTTCTCCTCCTCCTCCTCCCTCTCCTCCAGGGCGCCTGTCGACGCGAGAGAGGCGGGCCGTGCAAGGGGCGGGCCCTGCACCGTGGGGAGCTTCTCCAGGATCGCTCGGTGGTAACTCATGTGAGCCTCCCAATGCCGTCTTGTCGGCTTTTGCGAATGGACGCTAAGTCGACGCCAAAAAACGACGCTAACGGACGTTCAATAAGCGCTGATCGACGCTCACCGACGCGATCTCATCCAGACGCTAATCGACGCCAATCGACGCTAAAGACGGAATTCAAAGCATACACTGAGCTCCCATGACTCGCTACAGAAGGATCGGCTTTTCTCGGCGGCGAGCCCAGGGGGGAACGCCGAGTGGGAGGGCCTTATCAGAAGGCTCGGAAGGCCTCGGGCCTTCTGAGAAGATGTCTATAAGCCTGCCCCAAAGACACGGGAGGCGCGAGGGCTTCTGAGAAGCCCCGGCGCCTTCTGAGAAGGCCTGCCCCGCCTCACTTCCCCCCTGGGCTCGCCGCCGATGTTCACCCCGAGTCGTCATTTTTGACGGCCTGGGGCCCTGGCGAGGGCCCCACAGGGGCCCCGAAGGCAGCGAAGGGCCTTCAGATTGCCAGCAGCACCCGAACAACTCGCCTCCTCGAAAGCCCTGGCAGGCGCCGACGGCGAAGGCACGCGATACACGATGCGTACGGTACCCTACGCAGATCTCAGTTTCTAGACTGGCCTCACACCCTCAACGTATACGTTGGATGGTCAAACAAGACGGAGCACGTGCAAGATCACGGCAAACGATACACCCGCAACGAAAGCCGCCACTGTACAGGATGCACACATGATGAGTGAGATTCCCAACAGCACTGGTGCAGGACACCAGTGGTAGATGGATAAAACTGCGTATAGCACGCGATCTATCTCCTCCGTCTGCGTGAAGGAGTCGTGGGGCAACCGGCTGAAGAATGCCTGCGCAGAAGCCCGCCAACATTCAGTGACGGCAATCTCGCGAAATGGAATCCAAGCGGACAGGTGAACAAGCGACGGATGTGCTTGGGCAGGCAGAACGACGGGCCAGGCAGACGCAAATTCAGACAGTTGACAGCCCGACAGACAGGCCACACAGGCGGGCAGACAAGCAAACAACCTCGGGAGGCAAGCGCACATACACACTTCGCAAAACCATGACGAGCGCACCCGCAAGGATCAGGGGCAATGACAGAGACCGGTGGGCACAAGCAGACAGCCGATGCCGTAAGCATAAACAGAGGCAAGGCTGGGCAAACCGGACCGAACTGCCAGAGGCAGGAGCACACAGCCACAGACCACAGACAGGCAGAGAGGCAGACAAACGAACAGACGCACGGACGAACAGGCGGCCGATCGCCGATAACGTGACCTGCACTTTCAAAGCACAATCGCGAACCGGTCCACGAGTCCAAAGAAGAGGAACCTGAAAGAGGAGGCAGAGGCAGACCAATGGAGAGGAGCTGCAGCAGGATGATGACGAGGGGCAGCACCATGAGCTGAGCGGAGGCAGAGGGGGCAGCAGATGTAGGGATCCACGGGTTGAACCCCATCACAATCTGGACATGTATCCAGCCGGGCCACGAGGGGGATGGCTCTCGTGCTCCCTCCCTCCCCCCTCCTCCGCCTACGCCCTCGTCCTTCTCTTCCGCCTCCTCCTCCACCTTCGCCTCCGCCTCCGCCTCCGCCTCCGCCTCCTCCTCCTCCTCCTCCTCCTCCTCCTCAGCCTCCTCCTCCACCTCCGCGTCCGCCTCCGCTTCCGCTTCCGCCTCCGCCTCCATCTCCGCCTCCGCCTCCGCTTTCCCCGTTTCCGCCTCCGCTTTCCCCGCTTCCTCCTCTTCCTCCTCCTCCTCCTCATCCTTCTCCTTCACTCTTTCCCCCTAATAGTGACTCCTCCATGCCGCACCTCGGCATGGGTCGGCAGGGCGGGCCTGGCATTTCGCCTGATACTTCCCCACCATGTCTGATCCTTAAGATTGAGATTTGTGAGAGGTTCACGGATGGAAGGCGGGCCGCTTTCAAAGTGTGATTATGTGATTCTCGCCTTTGTGCCGCGCACACCTATCTCAAACATTTGCAAAACTTTCACGGGTGGAGGGCGGGCCGCTTTCAAAAGGTCCCTCGTGCTTTAGCGTCGCCCACATTCGTCTTAGAGTTTTACTGGAGGAAGGCGGGCCGGTTTCAAAATGTGGCTCTCGCCTGGGAGCCGAGCACATGCGTTTACAAAAATTGGCAAGAGCTTCGCGGATGGAGGGCGGCCCGATTTCAAAAGGAAGATCCCTCCTGAGCGCCGCGCACGCTCGTCTTAGACGTGTCAACAGCCTCAAGGGCTCGTATGGTTGACGTCCCAGAAGTCCGCCGACCCTGTCAGCGTGTGTGGGGTGCCTGTCCGGTCCCGTCGACGGGGAGCCTCCTTTCGTTGGGCGCCCGAGTTATCCGGGGTAACTCGGGTCCGGGGTAACTCGGGTTTGGATTCCCGAAAAAGGAACCCGAGTTATCCCTGACCCGAGTTACCCCTGATGATTCGGGGCTCTGGACGCCCGAGTTATCCGGGGTAACTCGGGTCCGGGGTAACTCGGGTTTGGATTCCCGAAAAACGAACCCGAGTTATCCCTGACCCGAGTTACCCCTGATGATTCGGGGCTCTGATTTCGTCCCTTCCTTCCCATCCTCCTCTCCCGTCGAGAGAGAGAGAGAGAGAGAGCACCCGTCCTCGTTCCGGGGACGGCGGGTCCGCAGCTGGAGGGCATGCCATCCACGCCCCCATTGCGTCAAAGAGAAGCCCCTTCCCTTTTTGTCCCTTCCCCGGCGGGGGGACGGGGGGTCCCGGGGGGGGGGGGGGTCAAATTCGCATCGCTTCTGGGGGTCTTCCTCTCACACGCCCGTCCTTCTCCAGCGCGCCGGTCCTCCTCGGGTCCTCCTCCCCAGGTGGGGAGGAGTCCCAAGGAGGGGGGAGGAGAGTCACATACGCATCCGTCCCTGGGGGTCCTGCTCCCCCTCCCCACCCCTTTCCCACGCCGGTCCTCCTCCAGTCCTCCTTCGCAGGGGGGGGCGGGGCCAGGGGGTCCTCCTCCTTTTCCTCCTCCTTCTCCTCCTCCTCCTCCTCCTCATCTCTCCTCCTCCTCCCCCTCCGTGTCGTCGTCGATGTCTTTCAGGGTCGGCGGCACCGGCCGTCAGGCCTTCACAATCGTGTTTTGGCTCGATGTAGACCTGTCGGGGCGCAACCGTCGCATTCATTAGCAGCATTGAAGGCCCAGGGATGGAATTCTGGCACGACTCAAGATTGCCAGGACGCAGCAATAACGCTGATTCACGGCGTTGAAGAGCCAGGAAGTGTGCTTTGGCACGGGTCAGGACTGTCAGACGAGTGTCCAATTCGCAAAGTGAAAATTCGCCGGCCCAACGGGCCAGGGCGTGCTAAGATCTCCGGTAACTGGTTAACAGTATTAACAGTATTTCTAGTTCGCGCGCGCGGGGCGGCCCCTGGGGGTCCCCCGGCGAAAAGTACCCCGACCAACGCCCGGTCGCCGCCCGACCGCCGCCCGACCAAGTCTACTCAGAGATGGTTTTCCTTCTGGGTGCGGCCTCTCAGGCTCCCCAGAGCGCGCTCAGAGTGCCCCAAGAGGCCCCCAAGACTGCCCAAGAGGCCCCCGAGACGCCCAAAGAGCGCTCGAAGACGCCGAAGATGACCCCAAGACGGCCCA